CCATTTCAAAAAATGTCTATTCAGGTCCTCTGCCCATTTTTAATTGGATTATTATTATTATTATTTGTTGTTGTTGTTTGCTCTTGAGTTATATAAGTTCTTTATATAATTTGGATATTAGCCCCTTATCTGATATGTCATTTAAAATATCTTCTATTAAGTGTTGTTTCTTTTTGTTTTGTTGATGATTTCCTTTGCTGTGCAGAAGCCTCTTTTTGGTATAGTCCGAACAGTTTGGTTTTCGTTTTCCTTGCCTGAGGAGACATTTCTAGAAAAACATTTCTGCAGCCAATGTCAAAGAAAGTACTGCCTATGTTTTCTTCTAGGAGTTTCATGGTTTCAGGTCTCACATTTAAATCTTTAATCCATTTTGCATTTATTTTTGTATATGGTATCAGAAAGTGATCCAGTTTTATTCTTTTGTATGTCATCCAGTTTTCCTGGGACCATTTGTTGAAGAGACTGTCTTTTCTCCTTTACATATTCTTCCTCATTTGTCATAGACTAATTGACTGGGTTTATTTCTGGGTTCTCTATTCTGTTCCACCAATGTGTCCATTTTTATGCCCATACCACACTGTTCTGATTACCATAGTTTTGTAGTACATCTTGAAATCTGGAATTAGGATACCTCCAGCTTTGTTCTTCTCTTTCAACATTGCTTTGGCTAGTTGGAGTCCTGGGTTCTACACAAATTTTATTTTTCTTTGTTCTAGTTCTGTGAAAAATATTGTTGGTATTTTGTTAAGGATTGCATCAAATCTGTGGATTGCTTTTTTATTCTAGGTTTAAACTTGTGTGGACTAGAAACATGAGAGAAGACATTCTGGAAATGTCAAATCAAATTCCTTTGATTTACCCCTGTTGCTATTTCACACATTTATTTATCCATACAAATCTCAGTCACAGAGAATATGTTGCATAGCAAGTAACTTATCCACTTATGTTTATAAAATACTTATATATAATAATCTTTAATATCCTCAGAAGTTTATGTAAATAAAAAACAGAATTATTATAAAATAATTGTAAAAATCAAACAATGCTTTCAAAAGTGGTAACTCAATGTACTGTTCCATTCCTTATTAATGAAAGAATACAATTTATATACTATATTATTAATACTATATCTAAAGAAAATTATTCTTTTACTCCTTGAAATTCTTCAAGTTAAAGGCACTCTAAAGGAAATTTTAAAAACTAAAGACAATATGTTTGAGTACTTTAAAACTATTTTAAAAAATCCTCTATGCCTGAGTAAGTCTTTATTTTCTAGAAAGAATTTTGACTTCCTAATGTCTGCTATAAAGATATCAAACCATTGGAAATTAGCATTTTTCTGTAAATTCTTGCTCTCTTAATTGTCTAGAAATTCATTGTTTTAAGATTTCAAATACATGCCTATTAATTTTATAGCTATTATTTATTATTTTTATATATCATATTTTGAAGTAATAGTATTTTTTTGAATATGACTATAGGGGTGTGACTAATAAATCAAGTTTTTAGTTGTACTTCATAATAGTCCCTTGGATGTATATTTATTATTTGAGGATAAATAACAAACATAATGTAAATATTTCAATGATTAGCATTGCCCCAGAAACTCTAAACATATTGAATAAAATATAAGTTGTGTTAAACAATGAAATATTTGTGAAGTACATAACAAAATATAATTACATGAAATAAAAACCTCCTGAGGGAAATCATATAAACTCTATTGAAAACATTTATGGAAATAGTAATAATAAATATACATTTGCAATTTAATATTAACCTTAATATTAACTTGACATTGCATATTTTGTATTCTCCTTAGACCCTGGAAATATTCCTTTTCTGTGGAATTCTCTAGCATTCTCTAGAATGCTTCTTTGTTTTGAATCATTTCATCTCAGTAAGCCAAGGATTTCAATTCGTATAAGAATATACATTGTATATCTGTCTTAATAATAATTCAATGCTACCTATTTGAATATTTACTATCAGAGAATAATTCCTTCTGTATCAGAAATCAGGAACTTGATGTGAAGTTCACTGGCCTTCAAAATATAAAAATACCATCATCTTGTTATACCTTCCAGACAAAAGAAAGGATGGCATATCTTCCTAATGCATTAAGGCAGAGATCATAGGGTTGAGGGACAGAAGTCTTGGATTTGTGCCTGGATATGGCCTTTATTGACTGCCCATATCATCAGGTATCTCTGAGTTTTACCTCTCTCTCCTGGGAGAATGAATGCACAAATGAAATTTACTTGGAAAATGTAAATCATTATCCATATTGATTGGTATCTTAACCAGGAACACTTCAATGACAAGTCAGGACTGATTGATTTGTCCTCAAATTCAAACTGATGGTAAGCCAATGTGACATTTTCTCTTCGATTTCCTATTAGTTAAGATCCAGTCAGTTAATAGAGGCAGTTAGTATGAGCATCTGGTCACAAAGGAAGTTGAAGAAAAGGAAATCAAACACCACCTTTGGTGGTACCTGTGACATTAGAGAGCAGAACTTGTTGGCAGGAGGTGAAACCAAGGAGCTACTGTGAGAAATTCATCCAAATCACAACAGGGAAAAATGTCCTGGCTTTTTCCTTCTTCCCACCTTCCAACATTCTGCCATGGACTTCACTGGCACTTGCCAAAAACCAGCCTGGGAACAATGGTATGAAGCACTCAGTGTTTTGTGATAAAAAGATCAGGGTGGAGGTAGGAATGAATTTGTAAGCAGAGAGGCAAATGATCAGCAGGTACGAGCTTATCTCTAGGATGGCCTTTTCTCAGATGATAATGGGCATTTCCAGAAGGAAAGGTATATGTTTACCAAAATAACACTGATAAAATGCCTGCCCTCCATCACAAATTTACCTAGTACTTGATCTATTATCTTATGAACACTATTCCCCACTCCAAAATTTTGCTTCAATAGAATGAATAGGTTTTCAGAAGAACAAAATAAGGAAAACTGATTAAAACAGTAATGATCCTTCCCTTCTGTCTTGATATCCCTTTAGCTCTCCCTTTGCAGGAGGACAGGCTATATCCAAATTCAGTTTCCTCTGTCAGGAAGGACTTAGTCATGATCTCTAGGCATGGACATCAGACATTCCCAGACAAAGGCTAAAAATACCTGACATACCAAACCAGTTAGTTGCCTTGGCACCAAGAAGGTTCTAAATTCATCCCGCTACCCACTTCACACAAACACACACAAAAGTTTGCTTTCATGTTTGCTGTGTCAGAATAAAAAAAGATGGGAGTATATTAGGTTCCTGAGGCCGCTGTAATAAAGTACCACAGACTGGGTAGCTTGAAATAAAAGAAATTTACTCTCCCACTGTTCATGGAAGTCAGAAGTGTGAAATCAAGGTCCTGGTGGAGCTGTACTTTCTCAGGGGAGAATCTTTCCTTCCCTCTTCCGGCTTTTGGTGCTGCTGGAATTCCTTGGCTTCTTTGGCTTGTGGCCACATCACTCCAGTCTCTGCCATGGTCTCCAACATTGCTTTCCCCTCGTCTGCCTGTGTGTCCTCTTCCGTTTGTCTCAAATTTCCCTCTACTTTTTCTATTATAAAGGATACTTGACATTGAATTTAGGGTCCACCCTTATAATCCAGGGTTATCGCATCTCAAGATCCTTAACTTAATCACATCAGAAAAGATCCTTTTTTTTTTTTTCCCCAAATAAGGTAACATTTGTGAGTTCTAAGGATTTAACCTGGATATCTTTTGAAGGACTACTTCTGTCTTTTTTTTTTTTTTTTTTTTAACCTACCACAGTGGGAAAAAGATCCTTGCATTGCATTGCACTGGGATGTAGATTCACACTGGAACCCCAACAAGGCCCAACTTCAACATATTTCTCTGCAGGAAAATGGGAGAATCAAAAGGCATCTGACCTTCTCTTTTCTTGTTGACCTTTAGCCTATATGAATTTCCAAGTCCTTTTTCACAATAAAGCTTACTTCTTTAATGAGAACTATGTGTTATTTGGAAATTAACGGTGGAGATCCAGAAGGGATACCTATTACACTACAACAATGCACTGTAACAGATTAGTTTAGGAGACCTATTTTGAATGCTTATCACACACATATAATAGGATACAAACTTACATTTCTAGAATAACATGACTGTGCAGCCCACAGACCTAGGAAAATGACAGCATGGAAAGAAACACAATACATCCTAACGAAACCTAAATTCTTCAATGATCTTAAATTGTCCCCTCTACCCCTGCCTACTCATGAGGAAATCACTGCTGCAGGTAGGTTGCAACCACCAATTCCAGACTTTTCCTAATGCATAAAAACCCAGCAACAGCTGACTTCATCATCTCTCTTGGAAGTAAAGAATCACCATTAAAGCACATGTATTCCAAACAATTTTTCCTTAGTGAATCATGCATCTATTATAGTCATTTCTTTAAGTCAACAAATTTTTATTTAAGGAATTTTACATTTGATTCCTTCTACTACCAATCACCGCAGTTCTTTCAAAGTCAGAATCAAAATCGTCAAAAGAACTTTTATTCAATCCACAGTTGTCACTGTCAGTCCAGGGTTCTTTCAGTTGGGCTTCTCCACTTGGATATGAACATATCAAACTTCAAAATCCCCCACCTGTAATCTTTGGGATCCAATTTCTTTACTTTAGGGCCCTAGAATTCAAATTGTAGGAAGTACATTGATTGCTATTTTGGCAAATGATCTAAAATTATTATTCCTTCATTGTCTCTAATATTGAAAAGTCTTGGGGTGCCTGGGTGGCTCAGTTGGTTGAGTGTGTGCCTTCGGCTCAGGTGATGATCTCAGGGTCATGAGATCGAGCCCCACATCAGGTTTCATGCTTAGCGGAGCCTGCTTTTCCCTCTCAGTCAGCCCCTCCTGCTCGTGCTCTCTCTCTCTCTCTCTCTCTCATAAATAAATAAAATCTTAAAAAAAAAAGAAAGAAAGAAAAGTCTTGTTACTTCCACTCTACTCCATAAGTCTAGCAGAAAATGTTACAGGCCTCATTGTCATCACTGTAACAAGCTTGCTGTGATGGAAGCATAACCTGTGTCTCAATACAGCCACATTCAGTTATTTTTATATATAGGCTATATGCAGCATAGAAAACAGAAGTTTAATACAATAAATTAATAATTAATTATATCAAGATTATCCAAAATTATTTAAATGAAATTAAAGACTTGAAAGAAAATTTCTCAGAAATCTGCTGAATGTTTATTACAAATCATGTTTTTGGGGTGCCTGGATGGCTCAGTTGGTTAAGCATCTGACTCTTGGTTTTGGCTCAGGTTATGATCTCAGGGTCCTGGGATCGAGCCCCACCTCAGGCTCCACACTCAGCCAGGAATCTGCTTGAGGATTTCTCTCCCTCTCCCTCTGCCCCTCCCCCAACTTGTATGTACTTGCACTCCCTCTAAAGTAAATAAATACATCTTTAAAAAAATGTTTTATGATAAATTATGTTTTATTATAAAATGAAAGAGCCCATATTTTCTTAAAAAGAGTAAGCATCATTGAAGATATAATAGAAGAGAAGCATTTCATTGTTTAGATTGGGATTAGCAATCTATGGCCATTGCCTATTTTTACATAAGAGCCCATGGAAGAGTTTTGAAATTTCAAAATGGTTAAAATAATCAACAGAAGACAATATTTTACAACACATGAATATTTTAGGAAATTCAAATTTTGGTGCCCATAAATAAGAGTTTCACTGAATGCAACTACACTCTATGGTATATCTCTGGCTGCTCACATGCTCCAGCAAGAGTTCAGTAGTTGTGACAGAAATGATACGGGCTACAGAGCCCAAAAGATTAACTGCCTGGCCCTTTATAGGAAAGTTTTTCCAACATCCAGGGTAGATGGTTGAACCAAAAAAAAAAAAAAAATTATCCCAAACAAAATATATCACGTATCATAATTATTATAGTCTCTGTCCCCCTACTGTTTCTACCTATCTCTCTCTCTCTCCCTCCCTCTTTCTCTCTCTCTCTGTTTGAATTTCTTCTAAGCCTTCAATGACTCACTAATGACTTTAGGAAAACATTTAAATTCCAGGCCAGAACTTCAAAACTCCTAAATCTAGCACTAAACAAATTATCCCAGTTGTATCTCCTATGTCATAAACAACCAAATCCTGACAAGTTGTTTCCATACTCATCATCCTCACAAATCTAGAGGGTTTGTCATCTTATTCCTGCTCCTGAACGAAAGCCTACCCTCTGCCCTCTGTCCTTGATTCAAAATCTTCCCTTTCTGTCGAATCATTGTATTTCACTCAAGGACAGAGTACATCTCTCCTCTTCTTTTTTTAATATTTTTCATTGATGACATCCTGCCATGTATCATACTTGTCTCATTTTTTTTTTTTTTGCATTAAGGATTCCAAATGTTAAGTAATGTTTTGGAATATTTCCCCACTTTTACAATATCCACCCCTAATATACAAATTACTGCATTTCTCTCCTATAATTAGGGGCTACTTCTCCTATAACTTGGATTCTTTAACCTCTCCTCACAGTGTTTTTCAAGTTATAAGTACTTGATTTCTTATTATTGTATCTAGAATATTCTGAAACAAAAGCAGTGATATAGAAATCAATGCATATTAAAAAAACAATGATTATATGAACCATATATTTGTTTTATTTTTTTAATTTTTTAAAAGATTTATTTATTTGACACAGAGAGAGAGAGAGAGCGTGAGCACACACACGCAAGCAGGCAGAGCAGCAGGCAGACAGAGAGGGAGAAGCAGGCTCCCTGCTGAGCAGAGACCTCAACATGGGGCTCGATCCCAGGACCCCGGAATCATGACCTGAGCCGAAGGCAGACACTTAATTGACTGAGCCACCCAGGCGCCCTATATTTTTGTTTTAAATTTATGAAAGTTATATGAGAAACAGAAAAAGGAGGGAGGGAGAGATGGAGGGAGGGATAGAGAGAGAGGCACACGGCATTTGAAAGCAACACCAGAACATTCCAACAAAGCCCCTGGTCTGACATCTGCGTTCCAGCCCCAGTATCCAGATATCTGTTGAATGAAATGGTAGAATCAGTGCTGTGGCCATCTGTACCAATTAACTGAACACTAATGTTCTTGCTGCAGCTGATGGTTGAGACCTCTGCAGCACGATAAAGTGCCTGGAAATTCTATTTCCCATTTTGTGGAAAGGGGTAGGAAATATTGATCAAGGCTATAACATAAGAGCTCATTCAATTCAAAGCAATAGAGAGACATTAAGACAACAAATATTTTCAACTAAAGAATAAAGGGGTTCGTTGTGCATCGGCTATGCGTAATTATGAACAGTTGCTACCTTCCTAATTGGATGATTGGGAAATGCTTTTTAGCTGTGGGCATCCAACTGCTAGGGTCGAAATTGTTCACTGTGTACACTGATGTCTGATGAACAGTCTTCATACCCATAGCTCTTGCCATGTCTAAAAGTACTCACCTTTAGACTTTCAATAACAAAAGCCAACCAGCATTAATTTACATTATGATGAGAAATGGGAAAGGAGCATGTTGCTAGTAAATGAGAAAGATAACTTTTTTCTTAAAACCTGTGACAAATTCAAATCAGCTAAATCACAAAAAAGGTCATCTTGTGCTATTTCCTGAAGCCACAAGTCTCTGAATTTTTATCTACTAATTATATGTAGCTCACACAAAAATGCTGACTTAATTTTGGTTCCAATGAATTTGGAGTTATGTATATTTGCACAAAAATATTTTATTTAACTCAGGATACAAGCCTGTCAGGATATTATGTAAGCTGATAAAAATATACTCTGGCATCATTGAAGCAACAACAACCGAAGGAGCAACTGCGTTTGGAAATTGGAACGAGGCTAGTGATCCAGGGAGAGCACTGGTATTTTCATGGTCCTGTAGAACTGGTCTTCATTTTATCTGAAATTATCTGGATACTCCTAGTCAATTTCACACAGTCCACTGTGCAGCATATAGATGCCTTTGTCAGCCATCCCACCTTGTTTTTCTTGTTTTGTTTTTTTTTTAATAGCAACTTTCTGTAACAGAGTATATTTTATCCAAAAAATAGCTATCATACAGTAGGGAAAAATGCAACTTTCAAAGTAGGATGAAGAAGGCATTTCTTCCAGTGCACTGCTACACTGAAAAAAACTAGGTGAAGATTTAGTTTACCTCTCAGATAATACACAGCAGCAAAATCAGCAGGGAATTTATGTCTGCCAGGGCGTAGTGACAGTGACAGATATAGATACTGCAATCTGGTTTCTTTCTAATTGTTCTGTCATTCAAAACATTTGTGTGAAGATTAAGGAAGAAAAAAAAGATGATACTTAAGTATGGGTAAAGCTGAGATATAAAGTGAAAAGCATCCTTATCCCCCAGTTGCCTGGTTCCTACATTCTTGCCTTTGTGTCTATGAATTTCAATATTTGTTAAGTACAACTCTGTTGTGCTATAATAAGAGTCTTTCAAAATACAACGGACTAGAACATGAGTTGAGCCTCCATGTTTTATGATGCTATTTCCCCAGGCAGCCCAGCTTACTGCACCTCCTCTCGCCCCAGCGTTAACATTAGAGGGAAATACTAAGAGTTCCATCATTGCCTGAAAGGTGAAATACATCTTTGAAGGCTTCATAGAGGCTAGGAATGGAAATATTATAAAAATGTCACCAGAGAATTAAAAACACATTCCATATTTGCTTTTTAGGTTTAAGAGTAAATGCCTGAAAGTCTGTTCTGATACTAAGTCTCAACAAAACATTATCAGGCAATGGCTTTAGATATAATGTGGCAAGTCATATTATTTTTCTAATTATAATTTGTTAAGCAAAAAACATGGGACATACAAATATAGCAGCAAAAGAATATAGCTAAATCTAAAACTAAATTATTAGAGTAAGCTCTTCATTATTTGATATCCTACTAAATACAATTTTTGTGAACAGCATGTGCACTAAAGCCCTTTGTGATAGCAGTAAAACAGCATGGGTAATTGGTCTCCTGCATCAATATCTTAAAGCTATTAAAATTATTATGTATTTTTCAATTTCATACAAAACTTCAGAATCTCAAAATTAAAACAACATTTTCTGCCTTACTGTAAGGACCATGAGGGTATAAACATTTTTTTTTTTGTATCTGCTACTGATAAAGATGAGTATCCAAAACAGTTCATGATAGAAAATGAGTGCTCGGGCACGTGGGTGGCTCAGTTGGTTAAGCGACTGCCTTCGGCTCAGGTCATGATCCTGGAGTCCCGGGATCGAGTCCCGCATCGGGCTCCCTGCTCGGCAGGGA